CCCCAAAACCCCAAAACCCCAAAACCCCAAAACCCCTTGATGCTATTAAATGAATGGATTTGAAATCAGTTATGAAATAAAGATTAACTTTTCAAGTTCATATTATAATGGTTTTATCAATTTGTGGAAAATAGATCTTCACTTGTCTCGAAGTCTTTAATCTGCTGCTGGGTTAATTAATTTTCAACATAATTCTTAAAGCTCTCTTGCTAATTGATATTTTAATTAGAATTTTCAGTTATCTCTAGTCTCTCTATCTAAGGACCTCTGCGTTCAAAAGATTTAGAAACCTCATCAATCGACCCTCCTCTCTCTTTTTTGATAGCTTAAGTAATGCTTCTATTTTTTGTATGACTGGGTCTCTGACTCTCAGGCTATTTAAATGCTTGTTTCAATAAATTGTATGGCACATATTGATAACCATCATTGCTCTAACTGATATCCTTTTTATGTGCTGTAGTGCTAAATCCAGAATTTTCAAATAAATTAATTTCTAAAGGCGTCTCATCATATTTACTATTCATAAATGCATTCTGCTCATTTTTATTTAGACACTCAAGTTATTAGCTAAGGTTGCTCAATCCATTATTTAGAGTGCTAACTTTTTCATTGCTATCTATTCTTTGATTGTCTATCATAATACGAGGTTTAAAATCAATTTCAGGGTATTTATTAATGCTCTAATTTTTGTTTGAAATGTTAAATTGGTCTAATTTAGAAGAAATTTTGTCTGTTATAAACATAGATTGGTTGAACCTAATCATCTACTGATTTTGCGTAATAATATTGTGAATCCTATTCTAATTTCGAGATTATATCTAAGTGCCTCTAGCATTAGACCTATAAGTTTCAGAATTGCTTACTTAGTCTAGAAGACTACCACCAGTGTTTACATTATTATTAATGCTCATTAGTAACTACTATCTCCTTCTCTTTTCCATTAAGCCTCCTCCAGCAGTTGATAATCTTGAGGATTTATTCCCAAAGTTAAAACTTGAATGAAGAGTAGTCGTTTTATTGAAGTCCTATATTGAAGTGCGAGTATTAGCAGATCTAACATCATTCCTTGATTATATTAATGGCTGACTCTTTTTCACACTTGACTGAATTTACTTAAATTTATCATTCAAAATCTGCCTGAATGAAGTAAAATCTATTTGTATTAAACAAGTCAAAAGTTACTATTGTGGAAAGATAGATTAGAATACTTCTGGGAAATGCTGATCTTCTAGATAGGGAATTACTTATTTTCAGAAGAATTTGGATATATATCATTATGTGGAAATAGATCGACTTCATCGTTAATTGAAATAGTCTTTAGTCCTTTAGACTGATCATCTAAGAACTTATCTAATACCTTCAATGTAGTAGTCATTTCTTCTCTTAAAAGTGCTTTTATGTAACCATCTACATCTTATTCATTTAATTCTATATTGAAATCATTGAAGAAATTAATACTTACGGTTCTCATTTTATTTATCTGATTTTGCAATTGAATTTTTTTTAGTTGTTGAAAAAAGACTAGCTTTAGCACACTTATCCCTATCTATGCTTTCTGAATCAAATTTACCCATTATAATATCCTTAAAATCAATTACTCTTCGCTTGAAAGGTGGAATATCTCTGACTTTCTTCATGATGACATCAAATGTATCTTTTAAGTATTCAAATACTGTATAGTCACTTCCATTAGGCTTCATCACACCTCTGAGTTTGTAGTTCTTTAATTTTTCACCTTATACTTAAGACATCAAAAGGCTTGTTTTCTCTCTTTAATATGGAGCTATTCTACATATTTAATCCACTAAATGAGATCTAATCAGATCTAGGATATCATCCTGAGTAAAATTGACTTGCTGCTCCTGATCAAATTTGTCAACTTTAAATTCAAGATCTCTATCCTCTTCTTCCATTTGATCCAGACTATCAGTTTGCTCTTACTCTGGCGGAGTATGAAGCATTTGCAATATGTGATTGTCCTTATCTGGGATTACCACGGTTTTTTTCTTCCCAAGAATTAAATTCTCACCTTCAGACATTAGCCTGTTCATGTACATTATGACTTTTAGAATTTCCTTCAAAGATGAAATGTCATTTTCATCTCTTTAAAATACATAAGTAGCTATCTTTGGTCTTAATGTGAAAGCAAATAATTCACCATCCATGTTATATTCCAAAGATATGCAATCGCCTAGGGGAACTTTTGTTTTAATAACATTACTCTTTAGCTTAATTTCTTCTTCTCTATTATTTAAATCTGATTTACTGTCTAGATTTTCTTGCTACTCTTTGTGTAGCTTTTCTAGCTACTCATGATTACTAGTTATGATAATCTTATTCAATGAGTTGATAAAGGACTCAACGTTAGAATCGAATAGTTTGACTGATTCTTCAGATGAAAGATCTTTCCCTAAGCATCTTTTGATTAAGAATTAAAGCTCCTATATTTAGATTGAGTTGAGCCTTAGACTTCGCTTAAGTTCTTTCGAATCATCATTCTTCAATGGATATTTAATTGCAAGATACTCATCATCTTCATTGTCCTCCTCAGTAACTATACAAATCAATGATATTTAAATAATTACTATCTCTGTAGATGTTAGTCTACCTCTTTGTAGCTTTTCTCACAAAAGCCTCTTCTTCAATTCTCATTGAGACCTTCTTATTAGTAGTTGTTTTAATTGTTGTTTATTTTTTCAGCAATCCAACTGATGAATCTTATTTAGAAATCTGCTGCTTTTACTGCTTAATGCTCGAATCTGCTTTGATACTAGATTATGAAGTTGTTCCCACAGGTTATAGGGGCTTATTAACAACAAGATTGCGTTTGTCCTTGTCTGGGGATATTTTCTCTTTAGATTATTAAATTTTAGCTAAGGAATTTTCTTCTGCTTGAGCCTTTTCTTAATTTTAATTACCGTGGTTCATTATTACTGACGATAGAAGAAGTATTTAGTTAGTAGTCTTAGAAACTTTTTCAAAAATATCGTACACCTTATTTCTGTCATCATCATACAGCTCAAAGTGAGTTTTTTGTTCCTCAATTTATTTCTTCCTTAATGATATTTTCTATGGAGGGATAACTCCCATTTTATAAAGCTCAGTGTATAATTCCTTTATGCATAAGTCATACAAATGGTAGTTATTCATAACATCCATTATATAAGAATCAAAGCCCTTCTCCTATAACATTTTAATAATATCCTCTTGCTTTGTATTGTCGTTTCTATACTCTTCAATAAACTTCAAAGTATTTGGCATATCCTTGAATACATCAAGGTCTTTTACAAGTTTTATGGTTATTGATTAATAGTACTTTAACTGCTACTAAAAAGTCTCAATTTGATCTTGAAGGTCAAGCTTTTGATCTTCTAATGCATTGATTTAATCTTTCATCATATTTTTCTCTTACTCATTTTATTTCAGCTAGAGATGCATAATAGCCATTATACGCTTAAGTTCATGAATCAATTTAATAGCTTCATCCTTATTCTTAACCTTGACCTCCGAATAAATTATCTTAGCTAATTCTGAATCCTCTTTTTAGCAATTGAATAATCTAGACTCAATGTCAGCTAGCTACATCATTTAACGATCCATTTCTCTATTGTTTCTGAGCTTCAACTCATTCATAGTAGTCTCATAATAATCAATATAGAAGCCAAATTTGTTTTTAATCCAATCAATGTGAGTTGTGTACTTGTGATCTTTCATAGCTAATATAATTTCATGACCCTTGAGACTTTCCTTCAAGTCTTTTTCGAATTCGGAAACTGTCACCCAAAGTTCACCAGCAAATTTTTATATTTCATCTTCGGTTTTTAAATCTTCTTTTGACCATCTATCCAATAAATCTTATAGCTTAGCTAATGGATGATTAGTTTCTTTTTATTCTTCAAGTTATTTGAAATCTTATTCAAATTTCTCCACATCCTAGGCCATCTCATTAGTATTATCCTCCATAAATTCTACCAAGTTATCAATATTTTTGACTCTCTCCAAAATTTTCATATACTCCTCGTTTTTCATGTTAACTTCTAGGAGATCCTTTTCAAGTTTTTATTAAGCTTGCAAAGCGAGTTAGTTTGCATTATCATTTTTACCTTTTGCTCCTAACTTTCTCTTGCCACCTGCATACTGCTCATCAATGACTTATAGTTGATTCAACCCATTTTTCCCTAGAGCAGCATTGCTATCAATATTCTAATTGTTTTTAAGATAATTTGGTATTTTTCCTCTAATACTCTTCCTTACGCCTCCTCGATTAAAATCGAATATGTTATTATCGTCTTTTAAAGCATTCTACTTTATTTTATATGCAGCAGCCTTGCTTTACTGTGAAATGCGAGGATGCATAATGTAATGAGTCAACTGCTCTTTATTATTGGCGATCTCTTTTTCTAAGACACCCTGTATTTTTATTGTAAAATCGGCCATCAAATCCTGCAAGGGTTTAGCCTTGAGGAATAGTTTGCACCATCGAGTTTTGTTTTCTTAATATATCGGAGGAACTTTCTATAAAAAATATCTTAGAATGCTATTAAATGTTGAAAATGTCAATTCATGCTGCTAGAACAGCAAAAATACAATAAAAAATTATCACGAAAACTTACTGGAAATTCATCATTCATCTTTGTTAGGACCTGTATATACACTAACTCCATCAGCTACTTTCTAATTTTCTCTTTTTGTACTTTAGACTCATTTACGAATTCCTCAAGGTAGACCTTGTGATCATATACTCTTCTCTAATCATAGAATTAGTAGTGGTTGAAGTCAAATTCATTTTTCACAACGTTAGGTTTTTCTTGCTACTAAGGTGAAGAACTGTTAAATTTTCTTAGCAACTATGAAGCCTGATCATTAAATTAATTGGAATCAAATTAGCCAATAGTTGGTTGATTGACTGTTAGAGTCCTCAAGTTGTTCTATATATTATTAATCAAATACTTGCCAAGTTTTGGTAATTAGTTACATTATTTCTTGAGGGCTAGAGACTTTGAGACATTATAAAAAATGAAAAGCAGAAATAATTTAATTACAAATTTATTCTTATCATATTTTTGATACCCCTTACAAAAATTTAATTTAGTTTTTAGGGGTTTTGGGGTTTTGGGGTTTTGGGGTTTTGGGG